GCTGATGCATCTCATCCGAAGCCCACAATGAAAGGTGATGGTTCAACATGACTGGGTTATTTGAGTTCTGTGGTACTGTGAGGTGATTGAAGGTATATAAAGCTTTTTCCAACTGACTGTGTGGGGTTTCACCCTGCATTCTCTCTTTTTGCTTCTGTAGAACTCGTTTTAGCGTACCATGAGCACGTTCTACTATGAATGCTAAATATGAGCAAAAGCAAGGGAGCACAGTGCCTGTGGAAAAGCAGGCCGCATAACTTTCTCAGTCCCACCTGAGAAAGTGGCCTGGGAAATCATAAGGGAGAATTGAAACAATCCTCAGAGATAGAAGACAGCCTTGCAGGTGCTGGTCAGTTTCTTGTTTTCTTGCGAGAGAAGGTCGAGCGGTGGTATACCCCACTGACCAATGATGGTAATATGTTATTTTACTAACCAATAAGAGTTTTACCTTTCTGTACTTTCACATATTGGTCAATAAAAGAAGATCTGAGGTAATAAACCTCTCTCTCCTGTTCAACTCACAAGAGAGTCCGTGTCATGCTTCTCGCCATTCCCAATAGTATGACATTCTACAAGAGCTTGATCTGTCAGAGAATGAGGGATACCAAACTTGTGTGACACACCCCACAGCTGCAGGGACTGCCACACCTTCTGAGAGGTGTAAGCAGGACCATTACTGGTCTTCACAGCAGAAGGTATGCCTAAGATGGCAAAGGCCTGCCTCCAGTGGGCAATGACATGGCAGGTCTTCTCTCCCATGTGAGCAGAAGCCCACATTGCAGAGGAGAAATTGTCCACACTGACATGCACATACCGGAGCTGGCCGAACTGAGCAACTTGGGTGACATCTGTCTACCAAAGCTCCAAGGCCCTAAGGCCTCTGGGGTTTACCCATGCCAGCAAAGGCACAGCAAATGCATGACAGTCATCACAAGACTCAACAACGTCATGTGCCTCAGCTGATGTCAACTGAAACTGCTTCTGCAAAGTATGTGCATTCTGGTGGAAAAACCAATGCGATGCCTTGGCCTGTGCAAGCATATTAGCCTGAGTTGCAACCCACTCTGCGTTAGCCAACTTGTCAGCCCTCACCTTACCTTCTGCAATGAACCCTGGCAAATTGGTATGACTGTTCACATGCAGAACATAGTACAGATGTACCCAGGCCTGAATGGCATACCACAAGGTCTTCAGTAAATGAAACAAGTCAGGATTACTGACTTCCTTCAAAACTGAATGACCTAACCGCTGGGCTATGTCAGCGACACAGGCAGAATCTGTGACCAAATTGAAAGTCATCAAATGGATGCCATTGGATGATGACTCAGATGCAGACAACGTGAGTGATCACCTCGATGGCTCCTCCACAAGCAGACACTGAAAAAGTTTTTGTTTTTGTTTTTTTGTAGTGAGAAAGGGTGAGATATCACCCTGAAATTAGAGTCTTCTAATTGTTTAGAACATTGCTTATTTTCCTTTCTGATTGTTTAGAATATTGGTCATTTTTTTTTTGTTTTTTTAAAGGAGAAAGGGTGAGATGTCACCCTGAGACTTAAAGCTTTCTGATAATGTTTTCCTTGTTTTAGTTGCTTTCCCATGAAAGTTCTATAAACATGAAAACATTATCAGAAGGCTTTAAGTCTCAGGACGACAAAAAAAAGTTGAATAGGACAGTACTTGGATCCTTATCATTTCTATACATCACATTAAAACTACCCTCTGAGCTTGACATGCTAGCAGGTTTTATAGATCCAGCTGCCCACCCATATGGACCCTATATCCTAATTTGGATATATGAATAATGAGAGAGACAGTGTCAAAAGTCTTGCTAAAATTGAGGTATTGCTTTCTCCTCATGCACAAATCCAGTAATTTTAATACAGAAAGTAATTAGATTTTCAGATGAGCTTAATCTTTGAGTAATCCAAGCTGAATGCTCCAAATCACCTTTTTCTCCATCATGTGCCCAGAGAAGTGTGCTCCAAGGAGGTGTGCTCCTTGACTTTCCCAGGGATGGAATGTCCACTAGACTGTTGCTACCCAGGTCATGGAATCATAGAACTGTTTAGCTTTGAAAAGACCTTTAAGATCATCAAGTCTGATTGTTAACCGAGAACTGATGAATCCACCACTAAACCATGTCCCTAAGTCCCACATCTACATGTCTTTCAAATACTTCCAGGGATGCTGAGTCCATCACTTCCCTGAGCAGCTTGTTCTAATGCCTGAATACTCTCTCAATGAAGAAATTCGTCCTAGTATCAAATCTAAATCTCCTCTGGCAAAATTGGAGGCCATTTCCTCTGGTCCTATTGCTTGTTACTTGTGAGAAGAGACTGACCCCGACCTGGCTACAACCTCTTTTCAGGCCATTATAGAGAGTGATAATGTTCCCCTGAGCCTCCTCTTCTTCAGGTTAAATGATGCCAGCTCCCCCAGCCACTCCTCACAAGACCCTTCACCAGCTATGTGTCCCTTTGATGGCCACCCTCAGCACCTGAATGTATTGGAGAGCCTGAACACAGGTTTCAAGGTGCAGCCACACCAATGGTTGAGTACAGGATGAAGATCACACCCTGGTCCTGCTGGCCACACCATTGCTGATACAGGCCAGGATGCCCTTGGCCTTCTTGGCCACCTGGGCACACTCTGTCTCATGTTTTGTTGCTATTGGCCAGCACCCCCAGGGCCTTTTCTGCTTGTCAGCTTTTATTCCTTAGTCTCTTTTTTGAAGACGGAGTATTGTGGTAAAAATTTAATTCCAAACTTAATTTACCATGACTTTTAATAATGCAAATAAATTAGATCAGGAAAGATAAAACAACATTTCTCAGCCTGGTAGTAACTGTCAGCCCAGTCTTTCATCTCTCCCAAATATACACCTGCTCTATGGTGTTAGGAGCTTGGGGTAGAGGACATTTTATGTGGGAGTAAAGCTGGACACTGTAGAAATTCAAAAGCCTTAAACTTGGGTTGTTTTCAAAACTATTGTTTATTTTCAAAGTTAAGGCTGCTGCCTTTTAGTTTCTGTTGTGTACAGAAGTAGTGGCATTTTTCTTAGTAATCTTTTACCATATTCACTTTACGATGAAAACTCAATGCTAACTACTCCACAGTTTCTACGTAAGCAAAGGCTCAGGAGAAATAACATGCAGGGCTCAGGAGAAATAAGATGCTACAATATTAAAAATATAATGAAATTAAAATTATGATCTTCACCCCACAGAAGCCAAAGTACCACCTTTCTCCTACAATTTTAATATATAAATAAATTACAGTGTAATTTTGTATTTTTTAAAAAAATGTTCAGATTTTCAAACTACGCTTATACACTCTACCTGTGATATTTGTATATAAAAGTGTGATAATTTCAAATTCTACCAAAAGTGAGTATTAATATTTCTTAGAAAATAAGTCTTAACACTTACACTCAATTGGGATAGAAGAAATGTTAACAAAATCCACTGTGATTCAGTGAAATACATGTGAAATAGAATTGACTACATCAAGAAAATTGCAAGAATAGGATGGGGGCTTTATCATACACTTTCTCACACATATAAAACATATACTGTCCATTTACAGGAAAGCATGAGCTGAATTTAGACTAAAGCTCCAGCTAATATAAGTTCCCTGCTTCCATGAATGGTCAAAACCAGATGTACAGAGAAGAATAAAAGTGAAAGGCAAGCATACATCACAAAGAGCATAGGAGCAATATATATATTTTTAGCAGCATGTAAAGAACACTGAATCACTCCAGAACACAATTTATTAATGAGCCATGAAGCATAAAATTTTAGATCCTCATTTACTGACTCAAATGTAAAAGGTAACACAACCAACGGAAACTGAAACCTGAAGACAATCAGAACTATGAAAAAAGTCATTATTCTTGATGCTTCAAAGACTGTAAATAATGTAAATGTCCCACAGTGCAGTGATAGTCTCTTCATATAAAACCAAATCAGTGCATGATTCTTTAATTCAGGTTTGGCCTGAAATACAAATATCAGGAGGCCTCTACAATACAAACACCACTTAGTATTGACATGATTTAACTTCAAATGAACTGATTTACCAACCACCAGGCTGTTTTGACTAGAACTGGTCAAATCCAAGCATCATTTTAACCTATCAAAAGCTTTTGTGTTACTGACAAGCTTTTGAGGAGCACAATGAGACAAACTGAACATTAACAAACCTTTGCTTAGATGAGCTATTCCCTATCAATGTGCATAGGCCCAAGTATTTAAAAACTATCCTAAGTTTTATACCATGAGGCTTTGAACATAGTAGTCCAATCTAGTATTTCAGTCTCAGCTGGGGACATCCTTGTTCTGCAAAAGCAGTTCTCCAATACCCTCGCTATTTTTAAGAAGATTGAAATTTTGAACCAAGAAGGCAATAGCTGTAACCAAAGCAATATAAGGTGGAGGGTTGTTTTTCTTTCACTGCTATGCTTACATATAAATGGGCAAATAATAAGACAGGGTATAACACAACATAATGAATGTCTCAAAAATGAGATGGAAAGGAAAGTTAATAAAATACACATGTTAAAAAAATCAGAAATATAAATAGCATTATCTGTATTTGTTATTTATGAAGTTACTTTTTTATCAGAGGGTCCTAAACAATTTTATCTTGGGATTTTAAGTTTGTACCCTTAACTAAGTAAAAAGAACAAAAGACAGTGAAAACCAGAAAGTCTCGTTTGTAAAATTTCCAATGTTTGATTACTTCAAGACCACACAAAGTTCACAGCTTCAAAGGAGAATAGGAAACAGACACCAAAACTGGAGTTCACAAAATAACATAAAACGTATTGTCCTGGCTAAATTAATCTACTCAGAAAATATAAAAGATAGGTGATTATGTCAAAGAGGAAAAGCTGATTTTCAAGGTGCTGCACATGTATTTCACAAGTAATTAACATAACACTAAAACTCAAAGAACTCATAAACTTTTGCAGTTACCGCAGCAATGAAATTTCATACCTGTGGCAAGATAGATGATATGGAAAAGCATGTCCTTCCCCTGCACAACATCCACAACCACATGGGAGAATCGGCTGTTGTCTTCCATGAAGTAAGGAATTGGTATAACTGGTTGAATAACCTCATGCATTAAGAAGAATTTTTGTGCATCTTGAAGATTTCTCTCAGTCAGATTTACATACAAACCCTGGTCCATGGTGCCACACTGTAAAAACAGAAATGTAGCATGACTATATGTGCCAACAATAACAATGGATTTACTCTCTGATTTATAGCACAAGAAAATAAAAGCAAGATCATATCTTGTAATGACAATGTAAAATTCAACTTTCAAGTCCCATTTAGGTGCTACCCAGACTGTCCAAGGACTCAGGAAGCTCAGTTTTCCTAAGACAGTACTATGGAGGCTCCCTAATTCAAAGTAAAAATAACTATATATATATATATATATAATATATATAATAACAATAAAAAGAATAATTCTAAATAACAATATGGAAGAGCACCAGACTGACCAGCACAAGTAGATTATGGAAATATTTTGCTGTATCTTATGTTCACAGGGCAGGAAGGAGAAAAACTACCATTCAGAAAACCGAATTATTTTTGTCGTAATACAAGCAGACAGGACTCAGTTTCTTTATGCAGAAAAGCCAGTCTTTAATGTCACAGCCCATTTTTATACAGTTTTCCAAGACTTCGCATTTTACACTAATTGGCTCGTAACTTTCTTGCCACTCAATTCACTGGTTAGTAAATGGCATTTTACATGTCCATCAAATCTCTCTATTCCTGGATAGTTTACATATTTTGATCACTGACTCCCATGGGATAGATTTCTTGTTTTTGCAGGTGTGAACAGTTTTGTTACCAGAACAGATTGTTGTGCTAACTGATTCTCATTCTCATATTTTTTTTCATATGGCAACTTAGAAGCTAGCTGCTAGCTTAGCCAGAGTAGTGGGGCTTAAACTATATTTTTACAAGGCCTTTCTTTTTGTAAGGTATTACCTATATGCAACAGATTTTCTGACTAGTTTTCTTTATAATTTTCAAAGACCTCAGTGCTGAAGACTTAACAAATTTTCAAAGGAAACCTCAAGTCCTAATACAGACAAGTTCTGACAGGAATCCCAGGTGAAAGTACAACATGCAGTTCTAGAAGCTTCTTAGGACGCTGTCTTAAGTAGCAAAAATTGACAGTGCAGAGCTCTATTAAATATTATCCATTGCAAAGACTTTTTTTTTCTTTAAAACTGACCATATTTTAAATCTGAAAACTGTGCTCTTTTCTTACAGGAGAACATCCACGAGCTGCATAAAAAAGTTTCAAACACAAATAAACAAGGCAAAATAAGTGGGAGTTAATTTCAACGTATTCGTGTTCAACTGAGGACACAAAAGAGAAAGCTTCTTAATGTATGGGACTATATATACATTCACATGTTGCATCAGAGAAGTAAAGCACTACTTCACAACATTTATCAAATATTTGGGTGATGTGAAAGGCATAACTAAGTCATCATTTAAATTCTGCTTTACTATGTCATAAAACATGCCATGAATTACAGCATGAGCAAAATAATAGTGTGCAAAACCATACCAATTATTTTTTTAATATAACCATGTTTTCAGTCCAAATTTGAGTAATTTTTCCAAATCCACAAATGCTAAAAATAGTCAAACAAATTATTTCATAATGGGGAGATCAGATGATGAAGAATGATAAATTAACAACTGGCAGGAAACAGTTACTTGCCCTGTACGTCAGACCAGTGAAAAAAATAAACCACTCCCAAGAAGTTGTCTGGATCTATCAAGCAGGAAAAATTCTAGCTCAATACTCATAGTACCCTGAAGTGCAAATGGTCCTTGGTCTTATGATAGACATTGCCCTGTCTAAAGAGAAAAATATTGATCTCAGAATTAAACAACGTTCCTCAAAACTGGGGTTCCAGTAGTATTTTAAAATGGAAAATATTTCATTAATACAATCTAGCCTCAGAAATACAAGGTCTGATGTAACTATACACAGCAGTAGTCTTCATTCAAATCACATACGTCTCTTTGTTGCTTCAGAGTAGGTGAATACTCAGAGGATAAATCTACTTCTGGGACTAAACAAACAGAACTTCTTATCCTTTATCATAAGGACTCTACAAAAGAAAAGTCTTTTCTTGGAAGGAAACCAATGACTCAGTCAATTAATATATCTCAGCCATGTGAGATGTGTACTCCAAAGTCACAAAATTACAGAAAATGGTTAAAGTTCTAAGCATTAGACTAGCTTGTATAAGCATCACTGCTGCAGCTATGGAGCCAGAAACATAGCAGAAAGTTATTCAAAGGAATAAAAAGCAGCATTGGCAAAAGAAGAGAAGCTGGACATCATTAGAGACACCTAAAGATCAGTTGACATCAATTGCCTTCAATATTGTGTTATAAAAGGCCACATTACAGCTTTTAACCCCAGCTCTGCCTTCAAAGCTGTTTGTGACTCAGTGATATATGATACAACTGTAGTCACCGTTCTTGTAAATTAGATGAAGTATCAGCTGTATTACAGTCAGCAAGGTATCTAAAAAATAAATTTCAGCACCTCTCTTGAATGGGACTTGGAGACATACATTAAAAGTACAGCAGAGACTTAAACAGTTTTTACACGGCTATCATGCTGTCATCTTTCTTTGTAAGTACCGTTCAGTATGGGCTGCTCTCACAATAATTAACACCACATTAATGCAAAGTTTGTAGGGAGAGTTCAATAAGTTTTACTTGATATGCATACATTGTCAGAAAGGATAAGAATTTTACATAAAAGCATTTTTTCAGGCTTTCTCCTCCAAAAATTTAGCCTTAGACCCTCTTCCTATCATTATTTTGAAAATACAAGAACTTCTACAACAGGGGAAAAGCTGTATACAAATACATCCTTCTTCTGCAGGCTTCTGGTGTACTTAGAATCTTGTCACTCGGCTGATGACAAACATACTACTTAGGAAAGGTAATGTGGCTCTAGCCTGTAACCTGTGCCTTATTTTCCTTCATTTGCATAGATCAGGAAGTAATTAAAATTACCTACAATCCCCAATGGGTGATTTTTTTCATGCTAGCAAAGATCTTACGATTCTTACAAGTAAGGGAAGGCTGTTCCTGAAGCAGACATGAACTTCTGAAATTGCATTGAGATTAAGGGAGGGTGAAAGGTGGGTAGAGGTGTGTTGTAGTTAGGGCCTGGCGGTGCGGAAGAATTTGGGATGTAACGGAAAGCTAGTAACCCACCCCTCTCTAGGATAGTAAGTTCTCTTGTAATTAGCCAATAGCACCTAAGTGTGATGTAAGCAGATGGGAGTAACACAGTGACCCCAAGCTATAAAATAAATCGCCATATTCTTCATCTATCACATTGATGCTGTGAGATATGGACCAAGTGGCTGAGATAGCCGCTGTGCTGGAGCTGATCGGGGTGCTTATCTTGCTTAAACCCAACATTTGGTGCCAGAAACCCGGGAGAAAAAGCGGGAAGAAACGTGAGAAGAAATTAAAAAAGCAAGAATACCCTGAGTCAGCGGACAGCGGCCAAGATAGCTGGACTATTCTTGGCGTGAAGATCCTGGGCCCAGAAGGATGATGGAATCACGGAAAAAGGTCAGATTGCAATTAAGTTATAAACCTAATTTGCTTGCTATTGCAAGACTTTGGGTTGTTGAAGTCGTAAATGAGCTTGTAAAGTTTATCCACCCTAAGGTGTGGGACAGATGTACTAAAATCCTTGCCGAACAAACTCGGGGAATGACAAGGAACTGTTTGCTGGCTACCCTGAAATTTAGGGTCAGAGCGTTACAGCTCCCAGATGACAGCAGCTCAACTGAGCCGAAGCAGGGTCGAGAGTCCCCTCGGTTTCAAAATTCTTGTGTGCTCTGGAAGAAACAACAAAAATCAAGAGACTTTTGGAAAAAGTTAACAAAAAAAGCCAGGAGTGCTGTGGAAAAAGCCCGGAGAGAAACCTCCTCCCTGGTGTCTAAAGATGGCACAGAGAAAAAAGTTGTAGAGCGGGAAAAATATGTCTTTAACAAAGAACAAAGACTGGCCTTGGAAGGTGAGTACAGTCAGGGGGATGGGAGAGAAAAGGAATGTGAAGAAGAAAAGAAACTGAAGTGAAAGAGATAAGACGCGGGGGATGGGCACAGAGGCACAGAGATTGGAATGCAAAGAGAAGAACGGAGAGCAGAAGGCGGAGGGAAAGGTGGAGTGGAACCAGGGGGGATAGAAGAGCCCGCCCACAGGGGGGCAGGAAGGGCTGGGACCCAAGAAAAAGGTACGGAAAACAAGAAATAACCAGCCAGTTGAGTTCTGACTCCGACTGAGATACAAGCGGTTCATAACCCACCCCCACTCCCTCTCTGAGAAGAAGAGCTGGGATAATACCCAGTTTGTTACAAAGTCATGATTTATTGAGTTTTTAAAAGGTGTTTATATACCCTTTTGGAGTTAATTTTGTGTTTTAAGTAATTATGAGTTTATGCAGTTAGAGTTTTTAGTTTTTTCTCAGATTTAAAACCAGCCCGGCGCAGCCGAGTTCAGGAAAACACACACGGCAGTACGCTGCCGCCATGGCAACCACCGGTGAAACAAGTAACAGCAACTTAGATGAAAACGTGGAAAACAAAGCAACAACAACAACAACAACAACAACAACAAAAAAGCTGGACATTTTAAAGAGAAATAAAAAAGAGAGAATTTTAATTTGACAATTAAAAAATTAAAAGCTTTATAAATTGTATTATTTGTAAATCAGCAAATTGTTGTAATCAAGATTGAAATTTAAAAATAAGTTTCTATTGAATGAAGTGCCTTTGAAAATAGATTAAAAAGTTTAAATGTTGTATTTTTTGCATCCCAAGAAACTTAAAGTATTTTTGTTTTGTAATCTTAAAGTTATGTTAACCATATATTACCCATTTGCTGGGTTTTTTGACAATTTTAATAAAGAAATTTTTATGTGAATCTTTGTTATATAAAACACATATAACTGCATATATATCAATGTGAATTTAAGATTTTAGTTTAAAAATTGGACTTGATGTTTCTGAGAAGTGCTGCAAAGGCTGAGTGACAGCTTGCCAAATCCTGTGTTGTTATTGTTTTTCCCTGGAGAGGCTGCACTTTGGAATCTTAGCTAATTTGAGCATATATTAGGCAAATTCTTACTGTGAATGAGTGTTTTTGGTAACATTTGCAGTTATTGTGAGTTATTTTCAAAGCTAGATAACATAGAATTGTGATGTATTTGTTACATTTTTATAATTTTTATAGTGAATCCATGTCACTGTTGACTTGAATGTTTTTAAGTTAAATTGTATAACTTAGCCTCTTAAAGTTAAGTTTTGTTATTTCCTTTTGTTATAAATAATTATTGTTAAATTTAAATGTTGTTTAATTTAAATTGTTTTATGTTTTATTGGAAACACTTGTTTAAATTGCAAAATACAGTTGTTTTTTTTAGAGATACGAGGACGGCCACAATTGAGGCAGCTGTGGTGGAGCGCTAGTGAACACCTGCTTGTGAATGAAAGTCGATGCTGTCTGTGACACCCTTGATTTCATCGAGAGCTCTATTAGTTGTTGCAATCTTTGCAGTTTTTTTTGTTATAGCTTTCTTATTTTTCAGTGTTTCCACAATTTTTAAAAAATGTACCATTGCTGAGGATCAGCTGCCATTGAAGAAGCCTCAAATTAAACCAACTGCTGAATGATTTAATTAGTCTGGTACCTAAAGCTTCTGATTATTTGCTTTGTACAAATGCATTTTAATAGTTTGCTGTGCTGTAAGCATCTCATAGCTGTTGCTATTGAAAATCTTGTTCTAAAAATATGTTAAGAGACATCTTTCTAGTTTAAAGTCTAAGGCCCTGGCCAAGTCTTAACTTTACCTGGACAGAATGTTTATTAACAGATCCAGATGTTCTTGTACCAAATCAGTATTTGAGTCACCTTTTAACTCAACAATTTAACCCTATTAATATGACAGCTGGATCAATTTTAAAGTGAGCTTGGAGAATCATTTCCAGAGATGATTGTCCAATCCTTCACTGATAATTTTTGGTTTTGTTTGTTTATTAACTATGAGATGCTGGTGCAGTGTTTTAATAATTAACAGTACTTTTATATTACATATGTTATTAATAGTGTTTATGATTTAATTGATTTTCAACTGTTATAGGTTCTTACTAATTGTGTATAAAGTTTTGTGTTAATGTTGAACAGAAATACATCTCATTTTTATTTTTTTAAGAAAAGGGGGGAAATTGATACCCTAAAAGCAATTTGATTAGTGTAATTCATTAACTTCGAAGGAAGAAGTGTCTGTGTTTTGTTGGCGGGTTCAAAAAGGTCACTGTTCATCTGACCAGACTGTCTGCCTCTGAACACATGAGGTGCAGTGAACGGAGAGGTCATCACACAGCCTTGGTACTCCAGACATGGATCAGAAGTGGACCTGTCAAGACACAGTTGTGTCCGAACACTATACAGACAGTTGCCAACAGAAATTTTATGTTGTTATTATGATGTTGTGTCTCTATCAATTTTTCAGGTATCCTTTATTTTAAGATTTAGAAGGGCTTGAAGAACAACTTGAACATCAAAGCCCTCAGTCACCAATCAGCTGCCAGCTGACATCATGGGAGCAGTGAACATTTCAAGACTGAATCGTGTTGGAGAAATTCTGTAGAAGATCTAAGAAGTGTAGAGACTCCATCTAACTGTATATAAAGCAAATTGTAATTGTGTGTTTATTCTTTTAGCAAATTGCTTTCATGCTTAGATTACATATACACCAGAACACATGTGTTAAAAGTAGTTAGATAATAGTTTAAAGTAAAATGTTTAGCCTGTGTAGTAATTGCTATGTTAGTATAAAATATAAGTATTTTCCCTTTAAGAGGTAGTGTAAGCATTTTTGAAAGTTTATTTAACGTTAAAGTTTTAACTGTAAGTTTGTAAGCATGGTGTCATTTATATAGTAAACTGTTTATAGTAACTGTGCTGTTTATAGTTATAACACCTGAAGCAGTGAGCCCCAACCTTGTGGTACAGGCTGAGAACCCATGATTTAATAGTTTAGCCCTTGCATTTATACCCAAAGCTTTAATTCCTCTGTTGACTTTTGTGTATTAGCTGTTATCATTCCCAGAGTCCTATACCACTCCAAAGAAGAAGTGAACCAGTACCTTGAGCAACAGGCCATCTTCAGAAAAGAGAGCTGTTGACAGGACTGTCAATAGCAATGCTGCTTAGCTTGGGAGCGACCGGTGCAGCCACGGGTGTCTCTGCTCTGGTAACCCAGAGTCAGAGTCTCTCTTAGCTACAAATGACTGTAGATGAAGATCTACAGAGAACTGAGAAATCCATATCCTTTCTAGAAAAATCAGTTTCCTCTCTCTCTGAAGTTGTTTTACAGAACAGATGAGGTCTCGACCTTCTGTTCATGCAGCAAGGAGGCTTCTGCATCACCCTGAAAGAAGAATGCTGCTTCTACGCTGACCACACCAGAGTAGTGAGAGACACCATGGCAGAGCTACAAGACAGGCTGTCTCAGAGAAAAGCAGAAAGAGAAGCTCAGCAAAACTGGTTCCAGTCCTGGTTCGATCAAGCTCCGTGGCTAACCACCCTGGTGTCTACCCTGATTGGACCAGTTGTGATGATTTTACTCATGTTAATCTTTGGACCATGTATTTTGAATAAGCTTGTGTCCTTTGTTAAAAACCGATTAGAAAGAGTTAACATTTTGTTTATAGAAAGGCAACAAGTGCTTTAAAGTATACTTAGTTATTGCACGTGTTTTATATTTACCAATGAAAACTGTAGTATCTATTTTATAAGTTTTTAGCTTTTTAGTTAAGTATAATGTATTCTATATTTTATTCAATTTTATATTATTTACTTTTAAAATTTTTTAATATGGATAAATAGACAAAGTGTTTAGAGATACATATATAAAATAACATTAGAATTTTTAAGACTAACACACCTTATATTTTAGCAAATTAGTTATTCATAGAGAAAGGGGAATATGTTGTAGTTAGGGCTGGCGGTCTGGAAGAATTCGGGATGTAACGGAAAGCTAGTAACCCACCCCTCTCTAGGATAGTAAGTTCTCTTGTAATTAGCCAATAGCACCTAAGTGTGATGTAAGCAGATGGGAGTAACACAGTGACCCCAAGCTATAAATGCTAAATTCCTCTGCAATAAATCGCCATATTCTTCATCCATCACATTGATGCTGTGAGATATGGACCAAGCGGCTGAGATAGCCGCTGTGCTGGAGCTGATCGGGGTGCTTATCTTGCTTAAACCCAACAGAGGTGACTACACTTAAATATCTTGATGAAAAGCTATTGTTGTTAATCACTACATTAATGATGCTTTTTCTTCCATCTCTCTTGCAAGAAGAACACTCATTAAAATTGTCCTAGTAGGAGTGGTGACTATGCAAAAGATGAAAACAATGCATGTCTTCTTACTGAAATACCCCTTTCTTTTTGCAGAGTTCCTCTAAATGACCCACCTTGACCAACTGGTTTTACGCTGTCAGCCAGCTGCAGAGTATTGCACCCTCTGAGGCCAACAAATTCAAATGAGGGGCAGAACATATCACAAATGCTTTTAATCTGACTCTTCAAGGAGTATGGGCCACCTTGCACATGAAAATAAATAAAATTATGACCACTCCTCCTTTACCACCTCCCTCTCACTTTCTTTTTTCTGACAGACACCATCCCGTTTTTTAAGTCCTGATAACACAAATACACAAATAATAGCAGTTTGATCATACTTCAGACAGGAGTTAATGTCACCTTGACAGATAACTATAATGTTTTATTTTGACAGAAGATTGAAGTTAAGCCTTTTTACTCCTAACCTTCAAAGTACATCTGCTTTTCAATCCAAATTATTTTGTGGAAGGATAAATTAAAATTAAATATGTTGAAACAAGAGGGTCTTCAAAGCACTTTTTTTATTTCAGTGTTTTGTTAAGGTCTTAGGCTACTACAGTGCAAAACTGGATTTATACATTATGAACCATACAGTACTTTGAGGAAAGCTCAAATATAAATAAAATATTGATCTTCTCCCACATATCCATACCTGAAAATTAGGGTTAGGATTGGGATATGGAAGCCAAGCAGAGCGAGAATTCTCCTGGTATTTGAAGGGTCCATTAAAGGTCTGAGTTATGGCACTCAAATTGAAAACACAAACTGCTGAGGCTGCTATGCTGTTCCTGTGAAGGAAACAAATACATTAACCTACGTAATAACGTAATAATTAAGAAGTCAAATTGCTGAAAAACAAACAAACAAACAAATAAATAAATAGAAACTCTTCAATCCTTCAAGTAATTAATGAAGCAGATATGATCAGCCAGGAGATGATATCTCAAAATAATGCTATATGTTGAGCTGATTTAGCACAGTCATTGCATTTAAAATATTTGCCAGCCTTACCAAGAAACGGCTGGGGGGAAAAACTCAGAACTTCCTACTTTCTGCTGCTGCTCTAATACCATACTATACTTTTAATACTGCTACACTTCCACACATAATCACATGCACTAGGGAGACCTCTTTTCCAGGTACAAAGTTCAGAAGGATATTATTCTCAGGGTTCAATCAAGTTTTCTCCATACAACAAACGACTGCTTTACATAAGTAAAGGTTTTCTATGTGTGGTATGTCTCTAGATCCTATGGAATCCCTGGAAAAGACATGTCCACAAAAACAGTGTTTTCCAAAAGATGTTGTACAGCAATAAGAATGCAAGTTGCAGAAAGCAACAAGAGCAAACAACTTGGACTGCTTACAAAATATCATGTTAAAAAAATTAACATCAATAAATGGCAGCTGGACTAAACACACAGTTTCCTGGGTTTGCCTTAAATTGTGATATACAAGGCAATAACGTAATTCTGCATAATATAAAGAATATAATTTAATAAAAATGAAAGCTCCTAATATGGAAAGCTGCATTGTTCTTTTCCTCATTTTGAGATAATGGAATAAATAATGAAGATCTCAATCGCACAGATCTGCAGCTAGAACTGCTGGAAGTTAATCCACACAGCATTCTTCTTTCTTTTCTTTTCTTTTCTCTTCTTTTTTTGTCCCCTATTTTATTTTTTTTTTAAAGCTTAGCCTAGAATTCACACAGGGCTTAAGAAAACATACTGTAGAAACTCCATAATGAGGGGGGGAAAAAACCCAACAACTGAAAAGAGTTAGGATACACAGATTAAATACCAGGACAAAAGAGCAATTTGCTTTTTTATGCTTGTCTCCCTTATTTCAAAGGAAGCCCAAAACTTGAAGTTCCATGCTTACAGCTTCTGCAGAATCAATCATCATTTGAGCTGACAAATCCTTGCTTATATCATTAAATGCATCTCACTAATATAATTAACTGTACCAGTGTTTTCTTGAATTCCATGACTGTGACAGCCATAGCTGGTCTGTGGCTGCACAGATAGTTTAGCCTTGACAGACACTTACTCGACCAGCTAGCTCAGTCGCTCATTAGAAGTAAACAAGTCCCCAAGCATGGGACATGTTATTGATAGGCTGATTTCAAATTCAAACAGAGGACCTCAGCCAATCCCTTTGAAGCTCAGATGCACCCATGTCATTGGCCAGTGAGCTAGGCGAAGTTTAGATCTTTAACTAATCACAACTCTAAGAAGGGAAATTTGAAAGCCCTATAAAAAGGTGTGCCTGAAAAAAAATTAAATCTGGCTGTTTCTGCATGATCTCAGCATGTGTATGTTGCATTCCTGTGTCCAACAACAGTGACACAAGAAGTCCTACAAGGGCATGAGACTCACGTTTACAGATTTTTTTGGATAGTCTGAAAGAAACAAAATCAGCTTTTTCATGAAGCAGTGGCTGCAGTGGACTTGATAGTCAACCACATATAACAGGTGCAGGTTTGGCTGTTAGAGAAATGTTTCAATGAGTCATGTTTCATGTTTCATGAGGCAAAAGTAGTCTTAACAACAGCAAGTCCATTTTCAGGAGAGCCAGGAAGCACCAGGAACACCATTCCCCTTTCTTGGCTAAAGCCCCCTGGATTTTCTAGAGCAGAATTCCTCTGCTCAGGCTTTTCATGGCAGGTACATGTCTAGGCTACTTTGATTTCTCAAGAAAGATCTGACTGAACAGTGTATGTGGTTGCCACCTGACAAATACCTGTCTTTTATTATATGAACTAACTAGGAAAACAGAGCAACAAAATCAAAAGTACTGATGAAAACAACAGCAAATTTTCTTATCCCCAGTAATCTCAAAGTGTCTGTTATTCTCTTTAGATAAACAGTGTTTAGATTCCCCACATTACTCCATTGCAGAAACAGGCTGAGTTCATCATCCAATGTCACGAGTTAGGAATTGCCACATCCTGGTGCAAGCATCTCATCACTAGTCTTGTTCACAGTCTTCCAGCCCAGGGATGAGACTGAGTCTGGAAGATGCCTAAATGAGCCTGAATTCATGCTCACTGTCTAGAATGCATAGGGATTATAATTCTTTGGCATTAACTTGTGAATATTTCCATCTGGTTAATGGAGATTTATAAAAGGTAGGTATCTCTGTGTTCAAGGGTGCCTTACCTATGTGTTGGGTATCCAAGGACCTTTTAAAATTCTAGACAAAACTGATTTACACAGCAAGACAGTACAAGAAGGTCAGAGAAATAGAACTCAAAACTGGAAATTGTTCCAGTGGTCTGAACATTGGGTTGCATATAACACAGAGGCTGCTCTCAATGAGAGCACCATTTGAACACCAGTCATATAAATTTGTAAATCTACAAAGGACATTTCTGAGGTAAATGTCTCTTTTTTTTCTATGTCCATCCAATTTTTTAATATTTAACAAATGTGAATTTTAAAGATCAATTTGTACTTCTATTTTTTCCTTTAATTTCACCTTATTGATACAACAGGTTCACTTAAAATTAGGTTAAATTCTTGGTTTGACCTTCAAACTCACATAAGAATATGTTAGGACTAAATTAAAACACATAAGAGCACCTTTTGTGCTGTTTTGGGTAAAGATGAGTTCTTTATAACATGATCAAATTCCATCATGTCAAAATCATGAACATGTCACATTACAATTATAAATGGTTTATTTTATAAATACAGAATGCATTTACATATTACAATAGTAAAAATAAAAATTAATTACTTTCTAACAATAAGTGAAGAATATGACAAAATAAACACAACTAGCTCCCTGCAGTAAGGGAATATTAAGAATTTATTCCTTCTCTCCTGTTTTCAACAATTCATGTGGGAAACATTTGAAACTGATACTTGTTCACAGAAACCAGTGGATTGGGCAAAACAGTAGTTTGAATTTATGTTTACTTGGCATATGCAGAAGAGGGTAGCTCATAAGTTCTAGGTTTTTTTGTCACAAAAAGCAAGAAAATAAAATATATCATTCAGTTTACTTACACATTAGTTGTAAAAATCCCATAGATTAAGTCCAGTTCTGGCAAGAAGAAAGTACTCTGAAGTTCATTATAGTAAAATGGAATTTCTCCAGGGCGAGAGCAGTTCACACGAGCTTTCATGAAGGTAGTCCAGGTATCCTCCAGCACAAACTTGCCACCAATATCATTTTTGCACACTCGGGCAGCACGAGAGAAAACTGTTTTCCCACAGTCATGTTCCACTGCATTTTCCCGGAAGAAGAAGTAAGTAAAGTTCCCAATGTCATAAGATGACACAAAATTTGGTTCTGAAAATAACAAAAGGAAAGATCATTTCTTGCCTTCTTGTGATAAATGCACTCATACTAATGCGGAAGTTGGATTTATCTTCAAGCATTATATTTAGATAAACACACTTTTTAATATCCTTTAGGGGTATGGCACCATGACATCTGAATAGGCTAGCTCATGTCCAGCTGGGATTATGAGATACATGATCATGAAGCACTGGGGTTGGCTAGATAGGTTTTTTTTTCACAGTAGCTAGCATGGCACTGTGTTTTGGATTAGTGCTGGAAACAGTGCTGGTAATTCAGGGATGTTTTTGTTATTGTTGAGCAGCACTTACACAGAGCCAAGGCCTTTTCCTTCTCACACCACCCCACCAGCACAAAAAGCCAAACTGCCATCTGTGGTCAAACCATGACCTGGAAAACCGGGCCTGACAGGTTTTCCTCTAGGTGTTTACAATATGACTGTGCTGGGCAAGCTTGGCCCAGCTCATTTTATTCCACCATCAAAAGTGTTTTGGAATTTTCATTCGTCACATAAGGGCATAGTGAATTCTCACAATGTACTTGCTTTATCTTTTAACTCTATTTCTGCTTTGCCACCATGCCATTACTACAGATTAGCAGGATAATGGGTTGTAATTGATGGTGACTAAAAATGTGCTCAGAGGCTGTAACTGAAAGAAAAGAGAACTTTTCTCACAGGAATATTTGATGATAACTGCATTTCAACCCTATCTTGCTTAATGCTTTTGAGAGCATTACAGATTTATTTTTACTTCTTTAAAAAAAAATGATTGAAAACTGATCAAAAAACTGATCAAAAAACCTGACAGTGATGAAGGAGAAATTAGAGAATATAAAAAATAAATATAATTAGAGAAAAATCAGAGAATGTAAAAAATAATCTGGAAAGCAACAGATGGCAATACTTCTTGAAAGAAAAGATAAAAAGGAACAGTGGATACCAAAGACAATAAACAAGTAGTTTATTAGTACAAGAATGTCAGCCTGTAATGATGTCACAAGTATTGTATATGACCTTTATAGGATTTTTTATATACTCAATTTATGGACATGTCAGGCTGACTAGACTTCCTCAAATTAAATTGAACCAGCGGAATCAAGAAAGCAAGAAAATTACTTTGTTGATGTGACCCAAAAATATCTCGGGTGTACATCATGGAGCAGTGCTACACAGACCACAAACCCAAGCACTGATAGCACTGGGAGGCTAATTAGTACTGCCACTGGGCAAACACACTACTCTGCTATTTCTTAAGTTTGCTTATTCAGCACAAATCCTGGGAATCCGCCGTTTCTTTCATAAAGCAGCATAACTGCTCAACAAGGATATTTCCCCACAGACTTTTCTAAGTTACTGCAAAAAAAGACAACTATATGAAGCCAAGATAGTGCTTCAACCAGAAATAATATGATCGTTTTTCTGAGGATTGGAGACAAACCTACATTTTTTGGGGAGCACAGTCTCTATTCTTAATGTGAAAGCACTTAACAGGAAGACACAATGATTCCCTTTAGATTTTTCTCCCTTTCCCTCTGCCAAAGGTGTCATGCATAAGCTAGTTTCCTAGGCCTTTTTTATTTAGTGGTGTGGATACATCCTGAGTAGGTAAAAGGATGAGAGGAACTGTACAGGAATTTTTTTGTGGATAGAAATGGAAAATAGGATCCTAAACAAGCTCCCTGAAAGCATCTGACTTAGTCTTGGCCTCTTCTTGCTGTTTGAATTTAGGAGCAAGAATGTTCACTTGTGCTCTTTAATCCTTATAACTTAACTTCTTCTGAAGCAGTCTAACATGGCTTAATCTACATAGTTAGTGGATGCTACTGCTTCCAGAGTGAACCAAATGACAGGAAATGATCTAACTTTTTTTAAGAAGGTAACAGCAATTAACCTTAAGAATTTAAAAGTCCAAAGCCTACTCTAAGCAAGTAAGAGCTGTGATTTCCATGGACTGCCCTGTGAGGTGTGATCACTCACATCTGAAGTCAAGGCATTCAAAGACAAAATCAAAAATTAAATTAATGTTAAAAGAAAGCTAAAATATTATTTTTTTAAATTTAGACACAGATCAGATTATATCTGTATATCTGCACACAAAATAAGATGCACAAAGATATATGAATATATAATATATTCAAGATCTTAGAAGTCTAGATAATGCTCTAATGTTGAATGACATATCTCTGGAACTTGTTCACTGACCTCACTAGATCAATAAATTACACCATACTGTTGATGTCTAAAGACCCACTTCTTCCAAATAATTGCATTCAGTGAAATGCTTAATAGCATTAAATTCTAGAAAGATATATCTGGGTTTTTTTAATAAATGTCACATTTCAGCTAGAAATGCTCTTCAAAATAGACACTTAAAGTAATGGAAAGAATTTAAGCTTCAAATGTGCCAGTCTACATTATTTCCTTGCATTTTATTAACATATTCAACAAAATCCAGTTGCAATTGCATTTTGCCATCTCTGCATATTCATTAACTATATTAATTTAGTAGTGGCCCTTTGCAGCTGTTGGAAAAAAATTACAGACCTTGCATTAGGCTGATCAAGGAATTGCTACTCATGAAGGTTTAGGGACAATTTTTAATCACAGAGTAAAAGATGCCAATAGCATTATATGTCTCAAAACTAATACATAACTTGTGGTCATCACAGCTATATCCATCTTCAGGAGATGAACTATAAAATGTTAAGCCCTGTATGAAACTGCTGGAAATGATTTATTAATAGCTATTTTTTCCTATGATGCATGGTAAAAATACCAACCTGCTATAGAGTAGCTGGTTACCAATCTATTTTTATTATTTCCTTTGCAATGCCTTAGCTCTCCGTGATTTTTTTAAAATTATTTTCCTTTTGCTGAATTGAAAATTTTGTAAGTATGGAAGAGCAAGGACAGCAAAATACACTGAAATTGTGTATCCCAGAACTTTTTTTCCAGTCTTCTCTTATATTGCTGATAGATTTTATAATGCAATTCAGCATGATCATAAAAGTGAATGCACTCATTACTTTTTTACTGATGCACTCTAATAAATTCTGAAATGCAATTATTTCTTTTCTGAAAAATTGTTTTCCAATATAGTATTATAAACTTCCTTGTTTTATTTCCTGTTGTTTATTTCAAATAAATCTCCTTCATTTTCAAGGTTAAGTGTTCTTACATGGCATAATACTTTGCAATTTGTTGTATCATTTTGCTGATGCAAATTTGCCAATGACAAAATTAGTCACAGAAGCCATTCATTTACTCTAACCTAATACTTATTGAAGTATATGAAAGTTGCACCAGGAGTTCAGTGGATTTTGCCACCTATTTTCACTGGATAGACACCTTGCAAAGCCATGTATGCAGGGGCAGTGGGGCAAGGATGAAAAAATACATAGGGATTTCATTAATTCACTCAAAACCTCTAGAAGTATGGGGATCTAGCAAAAGATCCAGAAGTTTGGATTGCTACTTGAAATTGAATCCAGAATTCCACATACACAGGAATCTAGTGTTCTTTAAGAAGATTTTGCCAATCAGCTGTGGTATGAAAATTAAACCTAGTTATGATGGCATACCCATTTCTCTCCAAAAATGTTCTCTGCCATTCTTCTTCTTTTCTCCGTTCTAGTTTTGCAGGGTGGGAGACAAATGACTTTCCCTGCAGACTTGTGCATTTGGCTTGCATGGCCAAGCTTTGGTAGTGGGGGGACTACAGGGGTGGCTTCTATGAGAAGCTGCCAGAAGCTTTCCCCATGTCCAGCTGTGGCAATCTCTGGCAGCTCCTACAGATGGACATGCCACTGGCCAAGGCCAATTAGTGGTAATGCCTCTGTGATAACAGATGTTGTGCAGCTGTAGCTGTGGCCACAGAAGACAGGAATCAAAGCATGTGAGAGAAGCAGCCCTGCACACACCAAGGTCAGTGGAGAAGGAAGGGCAGGAGGTGCTTCAGGTGCCAGAGCTGAGATTTTCCTGCAGCCTGAGGTGAAGACCACAGTGAAGAAGCTGTGCCCCTGCAGCTCATGGAGTTCCACAGGGATGCAGAAATCCACCTGTTGCCCACGCAAGAGCCCCATGCTGGAGTGGATGGATACCTGAGAGGAGGCTGCGACCCCATGAAAGGCCCATGGAAAGAGAAGCCCATGCTTGAGCAGCTTGTCCTTGAAGGACCGAACCCTGTGGAAGAATGACTGACATTATAACAGTCTGGGGAGTTCTGTTGCTTATGGGGTGGACTCATACTGGAGAAGTTCATGGTGAACTTTCTCCCATGGGAAGGACCCCACAGTGCAGCAGGGAAACGACTCCTCTCCCTGGGCAGATGGAGAGGCCATGGGTGATGAACTGACCCATTCAAGTGATAATCCCCATTCCCTGTCTCGCTGCACCACCTGGGATAAGAGGCACAGCTGGGAAGGAGGGAGGCATGGAGGAGAAGGTGGAGGGTTTTAAGATTTTATTTTACTTTTCATTATCCTGCTTTGATTTTGTTAGCAATAAATTAAATTCATATCTCTAATTTGAGCCTGTTTAGCCCATGATGATATTTAGTGAGTTATCTCTCTCCATCTTTATTTCAACTCATGAACCCTTTGTTACATTTTCTCTCTGGCATCCAGCTGTGGAGGGGAGTGACAGAGAGGCTTTGTTGGTGAGTGCCTGGAATACTGACAACATCAATCCATTTCAACCTTTTTTTTTTCTTTTTTTTTTTTTTTTTTTTTTTTTTTTTTTTAATAACAAAAAGGAAACAAATTTCATAATTATCCTGTTCCCCCTTCACTTTAAGGCTTGGTATGTCTGCTTTTGAAATTCCATCTCTACCTCCAATATTTGTCACAGAATCACACAGAAACACAGAATGTCAGGTTAGAAGGGTCATGTGATCCAACCTCCCTGCTCAAGTCAGGTCATCCTAAAGTACATTGGACAGGATTGTGTCCAGACTATTCTTGAATATCCCAAATGAATGAAATTCCACAAC